AGAAGAATATCTTTCTTCTAAGAAAATGCGAAAAAGAGACTTTCAATTCTGCAAAGACAAAAATTAAATATTTCTACAATTGGTGGAAGGGAAGGGTCACACTTCCGACACTCCTCTAACTTGACCATCACGACTCTGCTATTTATTTTATTTGATGTAAACTACAAGGAACTTATTCTATTATATCTATGTATGAATTTTTTTGTGTTTTACATGCAGATAAAGAATATTGAGTATCTTACGTCGTTTGTTCTCGATCAAACAATAGATTGGATTTTTTTTCATCGTAGAAAAATCTATGCATGAATTGAATAATTTGCTTTTAACGTAATAGATCTTCATTACAAAAGGTGACTTAGTCAAATTCTTTCTTTTTTTCTTCATCTTCTTCATCACCTTGTGATTGAAAATGGCATATATATTTATTTTGGGATTTGTCACATGCACTAAACATACATTTGATTGTATGCTAAAGAACAAAAGAACATTACAGTTCATCAAGTTTGAATTTTACAACATATGAATATTTTACTCAATAGCATTCTTTTAATCATCAGAAGACATTCATAGTAGTTCTATAAAAAGAAAACAAACATCCAACTTTGACTAATTTCTTCTACTCCATTATCCTTTGATGATTTCATACGCAATATTTTACTATGAAAAACTATTTTTTCTGTTGATTCATGTGTGTAGAACTTAATAAGCCGATTATTAAATTACAATAAACTTTATATTGATAGAATTAATTTTTTTCGAGTTCAGCAAGTTCATGAAAAAAGTTAAGATGCATGAGTCATGTAGGGTAAATAGATGAGTCCTATTTTTTAATCGGCATTGAATGATTGAGTCAAGAATACTTTGATTTTATTAGATAAAATGATTTTGCTTCAAGCAATGTCAGTTTATTTGTAATAAATGTCAACAATAGAATTTTTGGTGTATGAAAAGATAATTTTCTTAACAATTCTAATAAATCATTTTATCTGTACTCTAAAAACTTGAACTATATCGGTTAATGTTCGTTTTTATAAACTGTTGATGTATTCTCTTTGATGACAACTTCAAAAATGATGTGTTAGAGTAAACAAATATTGCTTCAAGTGTACTTTAAATCGTTATTTTAGATCTCATTTTGATCATAATAAATGAGTCCGCAAAAAAATGAATATGAATGAAAATGGAGAGACGCCTAAAACCGTTACCTATATCTCTATACATTCATTGATGTTTCAATAGACATTCAGGCTCAATGATAAATAAGAATATCTTCATGAGAACTTTGTGTCGAAGCTTTTACAGAGCTTGCATTTTTTTTTTGCAAGCATGATGCATATTGTCTTCTTGGCATTTACTCATGAGTACTATTTTTCTTTGGTGAAAATGATATACTGATTAGCATTTTTCTTATCTTTTATTGAATGAATAATTCTGAATATGATCACATTTATGTCGAGTGAAGGTCTTTAACAAGTCGTGGAGACTGTACAAATTATTTCTATTTACATATGGAACTGATACAGCTAACTGATTCATGATTGTGTCAGCGTCTGCAATATATCATTGATGAGCTTGTAAATCTCAGCAACATCTGTATATTAAGTGAAAGACGCAGAAAAACAACTATTGTCAAAAGAGCACTACGTGCAACAATAGCGATGATACATGTGTAATAGATTTTTTGGTGTATTTTGTTAAAATTTGAAATGAAAATTTAGCAATTGTTGAAACGAAAAATGATAGATCTTCCTTCATCATTTTTCAAATTATTTCAAAGAATTTGTCTTTAACTTTTCACATATCAATATCTGTATTCTAGATTAATGAAAATAAAATATGTTTGATATATTTTCTATAATTTATAAAATATACATATTTAATATGTCTTCTATATAACATCTGTATAATGTTCGCCTTATTGTTACCAAATACAGCCAGGACATTCATATTTATGTAATACCAAAATGTCTGTTATTTAGTATCAAATTAATTTCTTTTTTTTTACTGATATGTGTGGGTGTACATACTGATTCTTTTTCATATTATCTTGAAGTAAAAATACTAGCTGAAAATCAATGAGTCAATAAAAACGAATTTATATTTTTATATAAAATTTCTTATAGATTTATCGTGAGAGAAAAAAAATATGTGGATTTGATTGACTTGAATAAAACATCTCATAATCAAAGAATAATATTCTATAGCTTTTTTTTTTCTTTCGTGTATTTTTTTCAAAGGCTTGTCCTAAAATGATTTCTATCCTTCTTTCTTTTTTCCATCTTATTCACAAAATTTTCTCATATATGAATTTATATTTCTTCTTTATATATGATATTTAGGAAGATTTCAGTTATAAAAATATGTCTGCATGTAGATAAAATATGTAGAAATATTTTATAACTGACAACCACCTAAATTAAACCTTGAATTATTCGATTGTTTTTTTTTTTTTGTTATTATATAAGGTTATTCTGAAATATTCTCTTAAGAATTATATTTATGTTTTCTATAAGTTAATGTTATAACTTTTAATAACTTTAGGTGATAAATATCGACAGATCAGTATACTCAAATTTTGATCATTCAAATGGAATAATTTCAGCAATATGAACAAAAACAAACAATCGTTCATCAATAAACATGACAATAAAATGAAAAAAAAAAGAGTTTATTGTTAAGATTTATAACAAATTATCAAATACTTAATCGGAATAGGATATGTTCTGATCAAATTAAACACTCATTGAAAAATTAACAAATTTCAAATACGAGCTGTTCATGGCGTACACCGAGCAAGATTAAGTATTTTAAATATATGTACAGTGTATGTAAGATACCGAAGTAAATAGTGAATGTAAGTTTTAAGTCAAATTTATAATAATGAAGCTAAACAAACACATATAAGTTCCATATTTCAACGCCAAAGGGGCTGTGTTAACAAGCTTTCCTGCAATCATTTCTAATTATATATTATGCATACGATAGTCTTATTATTTTCATTTCGATTGTTAATCAATAAATAAAACTGAATGATATTGTATAGGAAATAAAATTAGAAAATAAAAGAAAAAGTTACAAGCGAACATATTTATTTCCAGACATCTTAATTATTTTTTTTTCCTCTCCATTTGAAATAATCAAACTATATTATCTATTCGCTGATTTGCGTTCACCATGAGAATCAACATCAACATTTGCTTGAAATTGACCACGAATATTTCCAGGAGGTTGATAAAGAGCAACAATATATAATCGATGACCATTATATGCATGACCAATACCTAATTCTTTTGAATTTTTCCATACTAATTGTGAAAAATGTGGAGCTGAAGATTCATTTTTAACATTATAATGATAATGTTCATTATACCAAGCCTTGACAATTTGTTCACCTAGTTGTAATAAAAAAAAATAAAATACAAAAAAATAAAAAGAATTCAATAAAATTTTCACCAGTTATCTTTGATGGATCGCCTGTATCAACTACATATATATTTTCATTATAATCATTTGATAATTGTATTGGTTGTTCATTCGCTTCAGCATGAGCACGTTTTTGTGCTTTTTCATTTAAATCATTATTAATTTGAAGTTTATTGGCATTCGTTTTTTCACGATATTTATTATGTTGATCAAGAATTATTTGTTGAAATTCTTCTATTGGTGTACCATGTGTTCCATTCGTTTCAGCAGCATAATCTAAATAATGACAAAAAAAAAATAAAGTCATTATATTTTCGAACAGCTTACTTTGTGAATTAGCTTCATGTGATCCTCGTCCATTATTTCTTAACGGTTCAGAATCATGATCCACACCGTCCTGATCATGACTAGTATCTAAAAAACATCATCAAAAAAAAAAATTATAGAAAAATCTCATTGGTACCGTTATGAACTGGTATAGATGGATGATCTATATTAGCCAAATTTTCACGTTCAGTAAGATTGGATGTACTGGATACATGTGCATCTGTGTAAAAAAAAGGAAGAAATTAGTTAAAAGACAAATTCATTATCTACCTTCTGCTTGAACCTTAGCATGTACGGATAAACAACATATAATGATGAGAAATACTATCCAACGACATAATACTAAGCACATTGTAAATCTTTATGTTGTTTTGTTAATAATGAAGACTATTGCAAAACAATTGTTTTGATATAATTTACGAAAATAAACGAGAACCGTTTGTTTCTTTTTAATCTTGTCTTTCTATTCTCTTTCGAGGATATATGTTTATAATTAATATTAACTAAAAACTACAAATGTGTTTTTGTTTAAAATATTTGTCATTGTAAAATCAATGCCATAGCTATCGTTAGTTCGATATATTTTTCAAACGGATCGAATAGAATAATAGTAAGAGAAATATTACAAGAATGTGTTTGATTCAAGTCATCAATATATTCACTTGATGTAGGCTATCTAGGAATAAAATAGATATTTAAGAAGTGAAAGCGATACTATAGAAGAAATTTAGAAATATTGTTTATTTCTAATTTGACCATATCAAAGGTCAGAAAAGACTTTGTTCTAAGAAGTACAAAAGAAATAGCAATTGATTTTCATGATATTTATTCAAGCAGAATTCTTTAATAAGAATATTTGAAATGTGTTAATGATGATTTTGCTCTCAACAATGCTCGTTATTCATTTCAGTGAAAAGTTTATGATTGATGATGAATCTTCGTCGAAAGATGAGCATCCTATGGTGTAAATATCTGAAGAAATATGTAAGAAAAACACCGTTATCTCAATCGGATATGATGAACACAAGTGGTAATTCAGAAGGAACATATTTGTTACATTGTCATAATATTTGAGAGACATAGTAAAAAGAAAGACTATCTTCTTCTGATATATACTGATTTTTGTAAGAACTTTGGCATTGCTATTGCGAAATGATGGTTAGATGTTGCGAACGAGTGGCTGACTTGATTCGACACACTTTCACAACAGTCACCCATCTTTCAATCAACGAGACAAACGCAGTTTTTGCATGGATGCTTCAAATGAAGAAAAAGTAAAAACAGAGGAGTCTGTACGATAATATCATATAATAATATATCAAATTCCAGCAAAGATGTCAACATCGTATTGTGCATGTATTATATTTTCCTATTCCACTCACATGATTTTTGAAGAGATTTTTTGGTTTATCCATTAACTACATCTTGCTCTGTTTATGCAGTTTGCTCGAAAAAAGCGCGGAAAAACAAAAGAAGTATGATTATACAAAAAAAGTATGTGCTATACGCTTGGCAAGATGATATATATATTGGTGTAATTATATTCTTTCTCTTATTTTTATTTAAACCATTCTCCTTCGTTATTACTTTCAAAGATAAACCATCGACGAACGATGCCAAGGATCATGGTACAATTCTCGTTTGGAATGGCCATAATAATAAAAGCAATACATTCATGGATAACTTGGTTTACGAGAAGGTGGTGATCTAGTTTGTGGAGCAATTCCGTGGGGTTGGCTACAGGGAAATAGCGACAAATTTCTTTCAGATTTCCCATACACTCGTTTTTGTGATTATATTGATGTCAAACTGATCGATAATTATCCCCGTGCTTCTGATCAGATTCCATTGGTACCTGAATTGGTTAAATTCAAAAATGTTTGTCAAATTGTTCAAGCACTAGTGAATGAACCACATAATATCGGAAATTTGAATATCGTCGGATCAGCAATCACAGAACCAGGTGATACATTGCCAGGTGTACCGATTGAAACTCTGCAGAATATTGTTCTGAATTTTGGAAGTGAATTCGTTCCAGCGAGTAGTTATCCGATTAAAGATAAATCATGTCGACAACAATCGACTGGTTTGTGTGGTATTGTGTGTGCATTACCTGGTACCAAAGCTCCTGGTTAGTACGATCGAATTTTGCAAGAAATTGTAATGTAATCAAATGTCGATCTTGGGTCTAAACGGTTTTTCTGGTGATTTTGATAATCCACCATCTATTGAAACAAACGTCCCAGTTCAAATTCAGTCGAAGGCCAGCGAATGGTATTGCACAGGTATGTTTGAAAATACTCCAAATCATGAAAAAATACAACGGTTAAGAAATTTCTCTGTGTTCATAGATCTTGAAACGATATCAAGTTCTCTATTTTTCTCTTAGGATACTATGTAACTGCGGGTATTCCCATACAAATCGACGTATTAGAGCAAGTTGGTGCAACTAGATGGTCAGTCCGAATTGGTTGTCATAGTGATGATCTTGGAGTATGTACTCATGCAAAACAATGCTTAATATCGACATGTGTTTATTATTATTAGACTTGTCAAGGGGGAAACGGCAGTTTCTAACGGTTTGGAATCCCTGGAATCCCTTGGAATCCCTGGAATCCCTTGGAATCCCTGGAATCCCTTGGAATCCCTGGAATCCATTGGAATCCCATGGAATCCCTTGGAATCCCATATTATCTCATGGAATCCTTGGAATCCAGGAATCAGCTATTTCCACCTTGGGGTGTGTGGATGTGGGGTGTGGGTGGGTATGGAGTGTGAGTATGCTCTCCAGAGTAATACTCACACCGACACCAACACCCACACACCCACGCC